AATGTATTTACGCACATTATGTCCATCATTATATTTTTGGATAATGCAGAAACGAGCTAAAAATACAAAGGAAAAAGAATGATAATATTTAATGTATGATTATTACAAATAGGGTAAACTGTAATTTAATTATTTATTAGTTCTTTTTTATACAAAGTATTTTGTTTTTATCTTTGTATTTATACTATTTTTTGTTATTATTTCATTGTAATTAAAACGAAATATGAATTAGAATAAATTCTATTTTATATTAAATGCTATTTATGAAAGGAAAATAATTTTATAAAAATCTATTGAACAAAATTATATCCAAATTATATTTTATTATTATACCACTCAATAGTGGAATATGTTTACATTATATACATTTTAATACTACATAAGTTTTAATGGAATTGAGACAAGCACATTATGTGTTAAGTGTCATGTAAAACTTAAAAAGTCAATTATTGAATTTTATAATATAATATTGAATTTTAAATATAATAAAAGTTTTAAAATAAAGATATTAGCATAAATTTTGAGTAGAAAAATAAATGCTTGATAAATGTAGAGAAACAGAGACTTTTTAAGTTGTAAATGACACAGAATAGTGAATTTACTTAACATACCATCCATCAAATCATTATCAATATAATATATATTTTATTGCATATCCTTTTGTGTATGTACAACTGGATAATCAGTTGTATTATAACAAATATTTGGCTAATAATTGAGACATTTAAAATATGATATATAATGTACAGTAATTGATACAAACATTGCTGTCATGGCAGGATTATCAACACTTATTCAAGCTTTTATTATTTGTCAATAATATATCCTGTAAATTTTTTAATTTAATTTTTTATATTATTATTATAAAGACTAATTGACGTTAATGTAATTAAAAAGAAATATACAAAAACACACATTTTTTTATCTGAATATAATGATAATGAGTGTTTGTTTATATTATGCATAAAATATAAACGATATACATATAATTTTACTTGAATTGATAAATTTTTTTTTAAATTTATTAACGAAAAATATGCAAAAATAAATTTTTTATTTTGACATAAAATATCTTAAATTGTTATATATTATGTGTGCGCGCGATATTATTTTTATTGTATACGAGATCTATAATATATAAACTTAAAAAACAAATATTAGAAAACGTGCAAATTGAAATAAATTTTAATTTTTTATATTAAAAAAAAATATACAGTATTTATTTTATAAATTTAATCAATTTAATAAATTTTCTTATATGTGATGTAAATAACAACTTGTATGTTATATCTGTTATATAGTTGTAATAATAATTGTAGATGTTACTATATTTTTATATGTACAAGTAATTGCAAGAATTTCTTAATATACTATTTTACTTAAAATTTCTTTAAAATTTTCTCACATTATATTATGCAACATTTGTTATTATCATTTATTTAGAGGAATGTTTGTGACGTTTATTTTTGATATCTCATTTGTCTATATATAGCATGATAAGAATCTTATATAATCAACGAAAGTTCTGTGTATTATGCTGATTAAGATTTTTGCCAAACAAATTAAAGTGATACATATTCTTGCAAATGTTATTTATAATTATTAGTATGTTTCTTATAATGGGCTACATCACTGGGTGAGAAAATCTAGGCAACATTCTCTTTAATACATCATATGCAGTGTATTCTATCTACTTTATTTACAATCTAAAAATATATAGTTCTCTCTAAATCCAACTTTCCAGGTGTATGGTTGTAATTTTGCATAAATCTAAGAACACTTATGTCAGTATTTGTATCACTTAGATGATGTGTGAAAATGACCATGTCTTTTTTGCATTAATATTAACTGTGATATAATTAACAAGATGGAGATCATAGAGTAACAATGTGGAGTCATAAGAAACATGTTTTAGATTGAA